GTCTGGTATATGGGGCCAGTGCTCTACTCCTTTGAGTCACAGGTGCTGCCCCCTAGATTTTTTATTTTTAGTAGAGACTGGGTCTCACTCTTGTTCAGGCTGGTCTTGAACTCCTGAGCTCAATCAGTCCATCCACTTCTGCCTCCCAGAGTGCTAGGATTACAGGAGTAAGCCACCACACCCCGATATTGGGAAGTTCTCTTTGGTCTCTAATCCATGGTTTTCCTCTGCAGAGGGGAGGGGCATGCTGTCCTATTTCTTTTATGCCAATGCTTGATTTCCCACAAATCTGCTGCCTAATGTTTTCAAAACCCACCAAAGTGGCTGGGTGAGGTGGCTCACACCTGTAATCCTAGCACTTTGGGAAGTTGAGGCGGGTGGATTGCCTGAGTTCATGAGTTCAATCCCAGAATGAGCAAGAGCAAGATCCTGTCTCTAAAAAAAATAGCTGGGTGTTGTGGTGGGCACCTTTAGTTCCAGCTACTCGGGAGGCTGAGACAAGAGAATCACTTGAGCCCAAGAGTTTGAGGTTGCTGTGAGCTGTGACACCAGAGCACTCTACCAAAGGCGACAAGTGAGATTCTGTCAAAATAACAATAATAAACAAATAAACCACCAAAGCCTCTTTACACCAATACTTCATCTTTGTATCAAACAATTGCTCTTCTGGGCAATAATTTATCTTCTCTAGGAAGAGTCCTGGAGTATTTATTTGTGACTTTTCCTGCCCCTTCCCCACTGCTTTGACATTTTATGTCTACATGAGGAGAACATATGGCTGGGTAGACCTTGAAATTAGAAGAAAGGGGTTCTGGGCCGTGCCTGTGGCTCAGTGGGTAGGGTGCCAGCCCACAGGCTGGTGGTGGGTTCAAACCTGGCTCCGGCCTAACTGCGACAAAAAATAGCTGGGTTTGTGGTGCCTGTAGTCCCAGCTACTTGGGAGGCCAAAGCAAGAGAATCTTTTAAGCCCAGGAGTTGGAGGTTGCTGTGAGCTGTGATGCCACAGCGCTCTACCGAGGGTGACAAAATAAGACTCTGTCTCAAAAAAAAGAAAAAAGAAGAAGAAGAAGAAGAAGAAAGGGGTTCTATTTTAGGATGTGCCACTTTCTAATTTTGTGACTTCTCCAAACTTCAGTTTCCTCATCTTTAAAATCGGAATTGTTTTCTTGTCCTAATGATTTTTCAGAACTGTCATGAGAATTAAAAAACTCATATCATTAATTTAATTTCTAACTTTGCAATCGTCCAGGTGGTTTCAGAAACCTTATTTCATGTAATCTTGACACATTCCAGTGAGATAATGTGGCTAATTTATCCAATTTGCAGATGAAGAGAAACAGGGTGAAGGGTGAAGTGACTTATCTAAGATCATAAGTAGTAGAATCCAAACTCAAGCCTTTTAATTCTAAATCCCAGGAGTACATTTGGGGGAGAGGGGTAGAAATTCCAACACAGCACAAAGCCTGTGAATTGCTATACAAATATGCTATTACTACTTTTGGGCAAGGCTGAATAAGCCCAAAGAAGCATCATGCCTGACGCTGAGTCTGCTGGCTGGCAAAGGCGTCTGTTCTTTCCCATGGTGGACCCTGACTCACCTGTTGGACAGGTAGGGGGAAGGGGAGAGTAATGAGTCTTACCTGCTCAGAGGTAGGGTGGGGCAAGACACACCTCATCCCTTCCATTGGTTCTTTCCTTAGTCTTACTAATAATCCCTGGTCCAATCAAGAGGAAGTAACTTTCTACTTGCCAATAGGTGCAGCCTTAGGCAGGGGCCTCAAGTTGGAGTCCATCCCCAGTGCCGACTGGCAGTCCCTGGGGCCAATGGCGAGCGGATAAACAGAAGCAGCGGTGGAAAGGGACTGGGCGCGAGGCTCCGCCCTTCAATGGGACAGTCAGGCTAGGCAGCCTGTGAACTCGCAGCAATGGGTGGGCGTCTCCCTCATGGGCGGAGCTTCGAAGGGGCGAAGGGCGTGGCTTGGCTGTCAGGTCCCTTCGCCTTTTGTTCGGTTACTGAGTTGCTGCCTTGGCCAGAGTCCGAAGCAGCCGCCGCCCGTGAGCGCCTAGCTCAGTTCGCTACCCGTGCCGGCTCCCACCCCGGCCCAATCCCTACCCGGCTCCGCTAGGCTCCACACGTAGGTGCGGACGAACAGGGACAGGTATCGCAGGGGAGAGGGAAGGGGTGGCGAGCGGGCCGTGAGGCGGGCTAGCTGTCTCCGGGCAGGTGAGGGCGGGTGCCAGGGAGCGACACCCTGCACTGGCGGCAGGGGGCGCGCTCGGGTCCTAGGCGCGGCGACTAAGGAAGAGGTCGTGCGGTTCCGTAGAGTGCGCCTCGGGGCTCCCGGAGCGGGAGAACTGAGAAGGGCAGGGAGCAGTCGGGGCAGGTGCCTCCGAGATCCCGCCTCTCAGGGGATCCGCGGAGCTCGCCCGACGCCGCGATCCTGATTCTCGCCCTGAGCTGGTGGGGTAGACTTTGACCTGCTCTGCCTGCGTGCCAGGGCTCACTCTGCAGTGAGGGATTTACCGTCTGGGAAACTTGCTGCCACTGGTCTCTTTGGGGCCACCCTCACCCCACCCTGCGCGTCATCCACGCTCTCCCTCCCTCCCTACTCCCCCAGGCCTGGGTGGGGCCCTATTGTTTGCGCCCAGCTTGCCCAGCTGTGGGGGCAGTGCTCACATTTTCCCAGCGACTCTGGCCTCACCTGCTGAGCAGGTGAGCGCAGGAAGTACAGACGCCGGCTCCTGGAGGCCAGTTGGTACTACCTGCGGCGCCCCTCTTGTCCCCGGTGGGTGCTGGGCTATGGCTCTTCCAGTGGATGTGGGATGGGGTGACAGTGGGGTTGTGGAGAGCCCAGCTCAGTGCCTAGCTAATGTCTGGCATCGCTGGCTCGGACTGGGGTCTGTGCGCGGGTGGAGAAATCAGGGTCACCCGGCCTAGTTTCCAGTAGCTGTGGCTTGCAGAGTGTTGGTGTAGAAACCGGACTATCCTTCTTCCCTAACCTCTTATTGTTGAAAAAACCACCCAAAACAAACTTTGCAGGAGGAAGTACTCAGGGCAGCTTTCTCTTGGGGTTTTCTTGTCTCCTTGTCCAGAACTTCCTCTAGGCTTAAGAGGGGTCTTTCTTCGTGCAAAACCCCCTCCCCCAGCCAGCCCCAGGCTGAACCTGGGCCTGTGCCTGCGTACTGACCCTGTTCTCCCTACCCCCACCTGCATCCCGTTTGCGGAGTCCCTGGGGCCTGAGGTGGGGGCCCGGGTGTGGGGGGGCAACAGGGGAAGCAGCTTCTTCCGTCTCTTCCTGCCTCCGGGGACCACCACACCCCCTCGGTGGAAGCCTGCGCGTTAGTGGCTCTCTCCCAAGCTCTGCCCCCTCCCCAGGAATGGGGGTGGGGCAGGGCTGGGCCAAACTGTGAAAGGTGGAGGGAGCGACTGTTCTAGTCTTTTTTCCCTCTACCCCAACCCCCACTTTACTTGGCCGGCTGGTACTAGAGGCTATGGGGCTGACTTGCCATCTGATTTCTGAATTATGAAGGTGCATGCTTTCTGGAGCCTTTTGCTACCCCTTTTCCTGAGAGAATTTGACAGGGAAAGTGAGACTGGAGGAAGGGTTCATGGTGGAAGGTTTCTTTAACGCTAGACTCCCTCAGCCAGAGCTGCATTAGGATCCCCACCTCCTCTGCCCCCAATTTCCTAGGAGCCCTATCCACCCCCCTCAGGCTTTCTACACTACCTTTTACAAATTGAAGTGTGGTCTTTTTGCAGGAACAGGATCCCAGCCTCCTTGGGGGACTGTGAGAGCTGAGGTCTCTCTGTCCTGAGCAAGGAAGGAAGATAGGATGGAGGCCAGGGTTGCTTGTGGGGGAAGAGTTTACCACCTCTTTCTTGGTTGTAGATGGGGGGGGGGGCAGGGGTCAGACCCACCCCTTTGGAGTGTCCTGAGTAGGGGTCAGGTTCATGCTTGGGCTAGGGGGAGGCTGAGGCAGGAACCCAGGCCCTTGGTCTGGTGGGGAGGGCTGCACCTCTGGGAAGCTATAGGGACCTGGAGATTGGGCAAAAATAACCTGTTTCCTCTCCTCTTTGAGCCCATGTGGAGGAGGGGAAGGCATTGTAATTATATTGGCTAAATGATTAGTTTAGCTAATCTGGTTTGTGGCTGTGATGAAAAGATAATACTGAGGAAGTATTGCCAGGAGGCGCCTGGTGAAACTGGCCACTGACTGGACGAGAGGAGGAGGGGGAGAAGGTAGATCTAATTAGTCATTTCTTGCTAGATCAAGCCCCAGCTTGGATGACTTGAGCCCTCCCCAATTTCCCCGGCACCCTGGCTCACCCCATTCCCTCTGGATCCTGTATTTGTGCTGCCAGGGTTGAGGCTCTGGCTCTGAAAATGCAATGTGTAGGTATCAAAATGGTCCAGCCAGGGCTGGCAGCATTTTCCTTTCCTGGAGGCCCATGGGGTGGGTACCAATTTGAGGGAGGGTTCTTCCTACTAGGAGCTTTGTAGTAAGATGGGGCAATTGACTAGTCTACAGAGGGCTATTTATTTGCTGAGACGGTATGGGGGGGGGGTTTGAAGCACAGGGATTTGGGTGTGAGCTTAGCTGGATTTGAGTCCCAGCTCTTTATGTCTCTCTTTGTCCAGGTAGCCTTGGTCAAGGCACTTCACCTCTTTGAGCCTCAGTGACCTCTTTGTCAAAATGGGAATAATAATAATACCTACCCAGTAAGTTTATGATAAACAGCAACTTGAAAAGATTTTAGACACCAAGCACTTTCATGAACTTTTCTCACTTATTCCTTATGCTTGTCTGCAGATGCAGGTATCATTATCTCTGTCTACAGAGGAGGAAATTGAAACCCAGAGAAGTTAAGTAACTTGCTTAGGGTTGCACAGCCAGACTAGAGCAGAGCCAGGACTGGCAGTTGGATCCTCTGGCTCCAAGCCCAGAGCCCATCCTGCTGCATTTCCCCCCTGAAGTTCTGGAAAGGATTTTTTTTTTTTTTTGCAATTTTGGCCGGGCTGGGCTTGAACCTCCCACCCCCACTATATGGGGCCAGCACCCTACTCCTTGAGCCACAAGCGCCGCCCTGGAAAGGATTTTGTTGCCACCCGTTTTTGAGAGCCTCTGCTTGATTGAGGAGAAGAAAAATCACAAGGGTCTGAAAAAGTACACGTGGGTGGCGAAGATGGGGGTGACTCTCGTGTCCTAGCTATCAAACTCTGAAACCTCCTAGTGGAGTGGGCTCTCCCCAAGGCGGGGGCTGTGGCAGGTGTTTGGGGGAAGTTGGGAGGGAAAGAAGACAGGAGTCAAAGCTGTGCTGCCTCTTGACTTGATGTGGGTAGAACTGTGGCTGTTCTGGGCTTGTCCTTAAATAGGAAGTGGGAGTTGCCTACTTTGCTGGGGGCTGGGGGAATGGAGCTGTGAATGGAGAGAAATGAGAGTCAGATTTAGGCCATGCTAGTGTCCTGACGGATTATACCAGTCAGTGCTACCAGGCTGCTTTTGGCTGGGAACTGGCTGTCCCATGCTTTGGAGCCCAGGAGACCTAGGTAGGCTGCTTGTGGGAAGAGCCTTTCTGGTGACTGGGTGGGGGTCATCCTTTGCCCTTAAGGGAAAAGCTGGTGTCTGATTGTCCTCACAGACCTGCTTGGCTCTGGCATCTCTGGCAACTGAGCACCTGAATGGGCCTTGAAATGGGGTCCGGGGAAGGGCTTCTGTATATGTGATGGTGTAGCCTGCTCACCACTAGGCTTCCACATCCCTTGAGGGCAGGTGGGGACCCAGGCGTGGGGATTATTGATCCTGGACAAGGCCTAGGAGACTTGAGGTTAAGAGTAGGAAAGAGAATGAACTCAGCTCCAGCTTAGTGCTACAAAGAGGGGCATGGGCTTACAGTTTCTGTAACCCCCGAGGACATGGGAGCTATTGAGACCCAAGTTCTTATAGAAAGAATAAAGGCTAGACAGGGGAAAGACTTCTTGTCTGAGATGAGCTCTTGAGATGAAGAAGAATAAGAGGGAGGGGCAGGAGCCCAGGATCCAGGGCAGGCCGGAATCACTAACTTTTGAGGTGAATCTGAGGCTTACTGGGGTCCCTAGGGAGACTTTATTTTGGTCTTTTGGGAGAAGAGTAACATGACAGTGGGAGAGACAGACATCCTTGAGCACGCTGGCCCAGTGACCCCTGTGAAGAGGAAAGGTGTTATGGTTCAGCAGGTATCAGGGCTTGAGTTTTTGTTTTTTTGAGACAGTCTTACTATGTTGCCCTCACGGTAGAGTGCCGTGGTGTCACAGCTCATAGCGACTTCCAACTTTTGGGCTTAAGTGATTCTCTTGCCTCAGCCTCCCAAGTAGCTGGGACTACTGTGCCCACCACAGTGCCTGGCTATTTTTTGTTGCAGTTGTCATTGTTTGGCTGGCTCGGTCTGGATTCAAACCCGCTAGCCTGGGTGTATGTGGCTGACGCCCTACCCACTGAGGTATGGGTACCACCCAGGGCTTGAGTTCTTGTAGTGACATCCTGAGGCCTCTCTTGGGACATGGTTGAATCTCATGGAGGTCTGGGGACATGGACTGCCCCATTTTTCGGCCAATTCCTTGGCAAGGCCTTGCTTGGCCTCCTGGCATCTTGGCCATTTGAGGCCTTCAGGACAGGCAGCTCAGCTTTCTGTCAGTGCCTGGCAATGAATAAGCTGCTTATCTCTGGGTAACTTCTCATTCTCCCTTGATTGGACAATCATTGTAAAACAAACAAACAAAAACTGGAAAGGCAGTGCCAGTAGCTCAGTGGATAGGGCACTGGCCACATGCACCCGGGCTGGTGGGTTTGAACATGTCCTGGGGCCAGCTAAACAATGACAATTGCAACAACAGAAATAGCCTGGTGTTGTGGCAGG